TTTTGGCTGCTGCTGGAAAGTGATGGGGTTCTGAGTTTTGAATCCAGGACTTCTGCCTGTTCATGTTTACAGCGAGATTTCCTACAACTGTGGAGACCAAGCTCCCCAAGGAGATATCAGCGTTTATCGACCTAATGCATATGCAGCACGTCATTTTCTAAATTACATGTGCACATAACATTTACATAACTATCAGCAATTACTTTGTGAGTTTAACCTTCACAGAAAGTGTCAGCAATTATTTTTAAATTTCACTTAACTTTTCTGATATCTGGTCTTTTTTTTTGTTGTTGTTGTTTTTTTTTCTTTCTTTCTTTCTTTTTTTTTTTTTTTTTTGTGGAACTGGGGATTGAACTCAGGCTCTTGAGCTTGCCAGGGAAGCACTTATTCCACTGAGCCATCTCCCCGGCCCCTGATATCTGGTCTTATGAAGAGAAATCCTGAGCTGTGAAATAGGAAGCTCCTTAATGTAGCAATCTCCAGTATTAAAAAAAAAAAAATATGAAGCCCATGTGTAACTTAACGTTTTCAATTTTTTTTTAACTTTATTTATTTATGTGTGTGTTTGTGTGTGTGTGTGGCCAGCTCAGCCCACCAGGGGGCGGGGCTGGCTGGCATGTGGTGCTGGGGGATCGAACCGTGGTCCCTGTGCTTTGCCAAGCTTGTTCCAAGTAGGTGCCTTAGACCACTGAGCCATCTCACCAGCCCCAACTTAACATTTTCAAATAGTCACATTCAAAAATTGAAATAGGTAAGACTTTAAAAATTTAATCCAATGTCTAAAATATTCTTATACTACGATCAATACAGAATTAATGTATTTTTGGTTTCACAGTTTCAAAACTTACTAATGTAACCTTTCTAACACATCTCAGTCAAGAACAGCCACATTTCAGCTTTAAGAACTATGTGATCTCAGCAAGATGACTGAAACCCTCTGCTGTGCCAGAGGCGAGGGAATACCCTTCCCAAATTTATCTTCAGACCCAAAGAGGGGGACTGACAGTACCCTGACAAAGTACTTACCTCCCACAAGGAAGAGTCCAAAACTATTCCTGCTTCTCACCTATGAGTGTGAACAAAGGCCCACTGACTAAGAGATCAGATAGGAGATAAACAGAGGAAAATGATACTAGCTTTTATATTCACATAGAGAAGGACTGGGCCCTCAAGGAAGTCAATGCACACATGTGCGCACACACACACACACACACACACACACACACACACAAAAGGCATCAGAATTGTGGTTAGAGGCAAATCTGATAGATGCTCACAAGGTAATATTATACTGCAATCAGCACCACCTGGCCCAATAGACCTAGATAGGCATCAATACATGGGCAGGTGACCAGAACACCTGACTTTTCCAGATATCCTCAACACATGATTCATTTTCCTATTGGGTTAACTTTGCCTATGCAGCTATACTTGTAAATCCTATAGATTGATTATAGTTTGACCCACACTGTGATTTTACTGTATAAATTCCCTGAAAAATGGCTTTGGTCGTTACCCATTCAGGAACCCTCATGTAAATCTATTCTTCCTTTCATTTCTAATAAATTTCTCCTAACTTCTGCTGGTTTGCAATTTCTTTATTCAATGCTGTGAGACCATGAATTCAGCAAATTTGACATCTAATTGGGAGTTGTATTTTTCCTAGAACAAAAGTAGGAAGCTGATGTCTTTCAATCAGTCCACGGCTTTGATTTCTAGTTTAAATGGGGAGGGATATAAAGCAAAATTTATTTTGCAATTTGGCCTTGGGTTGTGTTCATTTCCTACTGCTGTGTGGGGTATTTGACAGTTTTAGCACCCATCATATACATAAATATCAGCATGTATTTCTGTACAACTCAACACTATCTGACAAGATACTCAAATTAGAGGGAAAGAACCTAGATGAAAACTATTTGCACAAATTGTAATTATCATTTAACCTCTAATCAATGTCACTGAAACCTGGCATCCTACCTATAATGGGAGTACTAATTACTGTATGTGTTCCTGGATTACAACCACCTATGGATAACAAGCCATTTATAAGATCCAAAGGATTTGTGTCCATTGAGTATTTTCCATCATTGTGAATGGTTGAGAATCCTTCTGAAGCGTCAGGAAAGACTTGGAATAATCTATGGTCACTGATCAAAATACAGACCACAAACATCAAAGAGCATTCTTGCTTCTGACATAAAGATGTGAGTGCTCTACTATCACCAGTTACTAGAAGCTAATTAAGACACATTTAGAATAAATTCATATTCTCAGACAGCTGTTTGAACTATTCTTTGACGTTTGTGAAGAAACCTTTACTACTACCTTAGAAAATGACCTTCAGGTCTTTTATATATTGGTATTATGAAGATCTATCACAACATTAATGAACCGGTGTTAAGGTACAACAGAGTTTAATTAATTTTAAATAGCACGTCTCACACTTGATGTGGACATTAGCCTAAATACCAATCATGTTACTTAAAACAGTATCATACATCAAGCATAAAAATCTCTTAGATTTTCCTGTCTTCCATGTCACTGAGCCTCATCTCATGAGCAAAAGTTGACATGATGCCCAGATAGTATGGAAAGATATCTCATAGATATGACAAAGCATTACATAACAGACAATATGATTTCACATAAACGCTAGGACTAAAGGCAGAGCAAGTGATTTGATTTCTATCAGTGACATCTGCCTTTAAAGACTCTCAAATTCTGATAATGCAAACAATATAATTTTGATACACCTGTCAAGAAAAGCCCATATACTGCTCATTTTAAATTATATACTTTTTTTCACCTTATACTCTATAAAGCACTGTGTAGTAATATAAAACATGCCTTATTGGTTTCTCATGTAAATCCTGTTTAAATTTTGATTTTTACTAATGTTTCCATATTTATTGCATCTGTAAATTTCCCTGCAGCATGACCTGGTGTTGTCTAAGGTATAAATATGGCACAAAAGTCTTTACTACATTCATAGGGTTTCTTTTTTTTTTTCCATAGGGTTTCTTGATACTAATTCTTTGATGAATAAAGCTCATAGTTTTTATACTTTCCCAATGTCATTTTTTCAAATGGGTCTTCATTACAATTAGGATTATGTAGGTTTGCTTTTGTTTTTTATTTCCTCATTAAGATCTCACCATGCAGCTCAGACTGGTTTTGAACTCTTGCCTCAGCCTTGCTAGTGGTGGGATAACAGGTATGAAAAACCATGCCGAATTTTATTATATAAATTATCACATCCTATTTGACCTTCACCCTCATTCAAATGTTAAAAGGTCATGGTTTTATATTTTCCCAATATTACTTTTTAAATGGACTTTCTTTTCTTTTCTGGTGAAATGCCTCTGGTATCCTGAGAAGTCACAGCTAAAAAAAAATAAAAATAAGGAACTATGTTACTAAACTTTGGTTTACCTACAAGTCTAATATATATTATACCACAGACATTGAGATGAATAAACAGTAAAACAAATCCATAAGATTATTCAGATATATGGATTTAATTGCATTAAACTGAGTAAACTGTTCCTGTCAGAATTCTATACACAGCTAAGAACTTCCAATACACCAGATAAACACCAGTGCTAAAGTCATACAACAAAGATTTGTTAATACTTTCTCACAAAAGCCTCTCATCCTTTCCAATATATCATGGTGTCCTTATGGTATTGAATGATGGGATTTTTTTTGTCCCACAGTAGAAATGTGAATGGGCCTAAGACATAAGCACATACCCTCTAGCACAGACAAAATGTTATTGAGGGGTCTGAGACTTCAGTTACACGGGGGCTTTGGCTGAAGGAACCAACACTTACTCAAAAGAGAGCCCAACCTTCTGCTTCCAGAACAAAGAGAGTAATAGGTTTTTCAATTGATTTCTAGAATAGACTAAAGTCTGGTAATATCCACTGGCCATGGGCATGTTTCCAAAAGATATTTCTTCTTGTAATGGGACTTGGATCACTGGGAAGTCACAATCAACTTGTCCAAGAGGCTGTGCAAGTTTTGTATCTCTGGTGCCATCATCCTGTGCAAATTTGTGGACCTTATGATAGGGCCAAAAACCATAAGGTCTTCGAGCTGTTGGGACTACCAATGAAACACAGAAAAAAAAAAAAAAAAGGAAATAAATACATACCAATTCCAAAGACCAATAGGCCAATTAACCCTGCATTATAAAATTGAAAAAAAAAAATGATCAACACATCTATGTGCAACATGTAAAAGTAATGTCATCTCTCTTGTCTGCCTGTTTCCTTCTACTACATGAAGCAGATGTATTCCAAATGAAACATTTTTCTTAGTTATGGAATATGTTGTATAACCAGCACTATTTGTTTCATACACATGTCATGTTCATGATTTTTGAAGTTTTTCCAGTTTTCACCTGAACTAGCTCATTTAAAGAAACATAAAAAAGACTTCCTCCACTAAAGTGGAAATTTAATACATTAATAAAATGTTTCACAGAGTGTGAAAATATATCTATAGAATACATTTTCAAACTCTACTACATGTTGTAAGAACCATGCTTAAACAGGTATAACAATAGTTCATAAGCTTTGAACAAGTCATCCAAGATTTTCCACAAGTACAAAGCAAATAAAAATAGAACTGGCATGGAAAGACCTTAAAACCAGAAACCCTATCATGTAGAAATGAGATTTTTCAAAATACATGACATTAACCATCATGACATTTTCAAGTATTTTAAAATTCTTTTCATTTCAATAATTTCTTCATAAGATAGGTATAAACATGTATATTCATGAACACACACAATTATATTTATGATCCTCCTGCTCCAAATGTTAATCAGTATAATGTAAAAATTATAGATTTAAAATATTTGTATTTTTAAAATATTTAATACATGTGGAAGAATTAAAGGAAAAATGTTATGAGTAATAATTCACAATTTCAAAATAGAGTGCATTGTGATACTCCTGTAATACCATTTGTATAACTATCATAATTAGCAAGAGGAAAAATAGATAAAAATTATGAATATTCTCCAACTAAAGATGTCATTCCATTATTTAACCAATTGTATAGTTATGTCATCTAGAATATTAAATGGAATATCTGTGGCAGAAAGACATACAAACAGAACACTATTAAAATATTAATAAGTCATTTTTATTTACTTACAAAAATCATTCATAACCTCAAATATTTCAAACTCTGTTGTAAGTATAATTAAAAACTCTCAGGAGGCCTGTTATTCAAATTATGATTGAGTTGACTTCTCTGGTTTTTAAAAAGACATTCATAAGTTACAATTTATAATAATTTTTATTCTTTCAGAGATAAGTTTTCTCATTATTCTGATACTTAGTGAAGATTACTCTACCACATCAACTAATGGTGTCCAGGAAATTTTAAGCAAACGTTGAAGGATTTGTCATTTTCTGTAATTGTAAGATTTCTCTCTATTAAGAATGCTCTTATGTACATCAAACTCTGAGGCATAAGGCTTGCTACATTGCTTACACTTACAAAGGATTTCTTCTCCAGTATTATTTTATGGTACTTTAGCAAGTATATTTTGGACAAAGGCTTTCTCAGTCATGAATAAGATTTGAAATTTGAGTAAGAGTTGCCACTTTCTTTACATTTTTAGAATTCAGCTTCACCATGAATATTCTGGTGTTGAGTAAGGTTTGAGCTTTGATTAAAAGCTTTGCCACATATTTTACATTTATAGGGTTTTTCTCCAGTATGAATTCTCTGGTGTCGGGTAAGATGTGAGCTTTGAGTAAAAGCTTTGCCACATTCTTTACATTTGTATGGCTTCTCTCCAGTATGAATTCTATGGTGCTGAGCAAGAGTTGAACGATCATTAAAGGCTTTGCCACATTCTTTACATTTGTAGGGTCTTTCTCCGGTATGAACACTGTGATGGTTAGTAAGGGTTGAACAATCATTGAAGACTTTGCCACATTCTTCACAACTGTACAGTTTCTCTCCATTATGAATTTTCTGGTGCATAGTAAGTTGACAACTTTTATTAAAGCCCTCACCACACTCTTTACATTTGTATCGTTTCTCCCCAGTATGAATTCTCTTGTGTTGGATAAGGGCAGAACAATCACTAAAGGCTTTGACACATTCTTTACATTTGTAAGGTTTCTCTCCAGTATGTATTCTCTGGTGTACAGTAACACTTGAGATTCGTTTAAATGCTTTGCCACAGTCTTTACATTTGTAGGGTTTATCTCCAGTATGAACTCTCTGATGGAGGGTAAGATTTGAAGAACCATTAAAGGCTTTGCCACATTGTTTACATCTGTAGGGTTTCTCTCCTAAGTGAATTATCTGGTGTCGAATGAGGTTTGAGCTTTGATTAAAAGCTTTGTCACATTCTCTACATTTGTAGGGCTTCCCTCCTATATGAATTCTCCGGTGTTGAATAAGATTTGAAATTTGAATAAAGGACTTGCCACATTCTTTACATTGGTAGGGTCTCTCTCCAGTATGGTGTTTCTGATGCTGAGTAAGGTTTGAACGAACATTAAAAGCTTTGCCACATTCTTTACATTTGTAGGGTTTTTCTCCTGTGTGAATTCTTTTGTGTACAGAAAGGTTAGCAATCTGATTAAAAGCCTTACCACACTCTTTACATTTATAAGGTTTCTCTCCAGCACTATGAATCCCTATGTGGTTTCTAAGGCTTGAATACAGGGTAAAGGTTTTCCCACATTCATTACATTTATAGGGTCTCTCCCCAGTATGAATTCTGTAATGTTGTGCAACATATGAAAGCCTATTAAAGGCTTTGCCACATTCTTTACATTTGTAGGGTTTCTCTCCAGTATGAACACTATGATGCCGGGTAAGGACTGAGATTTGATTAAAAGTTTTGCCACATTCTTTACATTTATATGGTTTCTCGCCAGTATGAATCCTCTGATGTTGTCGAAGGCTTGAATCCTGGGCAAAGGCTTTGCCACATTCTTTACACGTATAGGGTTTCTCTCCAGTATGGATTCTCTGATGTCGAGAAAGACCTGAGGTCTGATTAAAAGTTTTGCCACATTCTTTACATTTGTAGGGTTTCTCTCCACTGCTATGAGTTCTCAGGTGTTGTCTAAGCCTTGATCCTTGGGTAAAGGTTTTCCCACATTCTTTACATTGGTAGGGTTGGTCTCCAGTATACACTCTCTGATTCTGAGCAAGGTCTGAGATCTGATTAAAGGCTTTGCCACATTCTTTATATTTGTAGGGTTTCTTTCCAACATCATGAATATGTAGGTGTTGATTAAGCTTTGAATCCTGGGTAAAGGCTTTGCCACACTCTTTACATTTGTAGGGTTTCTTTCCAGAATAAATGTTCTGATGTTGAATAAGGCCTAAAATTTGATTGAAAGCTTTGCCACATTCTCTATATTTGTAAGTGTTGTTTTGAATATGAAAACCTGGGAGCACAGCAAAATTTGAGCATTTGAAGATTTTCTCACATTTTTTATCTTGGTAAAAATCCTTTGAAAAATTGGTCCACTCATGTTTCCAAGGATCTGAGCCACAGATGAAGTTTTTGTGAATTTCATCACATTCATAAGTTTTCTCACCAATGTAAGTAACCAGGTAATTATTTAGATTAGACTCCTGGTTAAAGGTCTTCCTAGTTTCATTATGAATGTAATGTACATTCCAGATATCTATATCTGCATTTGGATTAATCAATAATGGGAAAGTAAAGATTTTATAATCATTAAAATTGTGTACTTTGACAAACGAAATAGTTTCCTGATTGCAGGATGAACTTTCTCTAAAGGGACTCTCAAATTGATCACATTTAGAAATTTCTTCATTTTTAAATCCATTGTCTACAGTGATGTTTAAATTAAAGTTTAATCCAGTAGCATGAAATAGGCCGCTTTCCAGATTCTCTATATTACCTTCCAAAGGAAAGTAATGTTTCAAAAATTGCCCTGGATACTTATTTACACAAGTATGTGGTTCTTCAGAACAAACTGGTATACACTGAGATCTTTTCTGAGATGATATATGCTCTTCATTTACACTGAAAAACAACTTTTTGCAGTGGACAGGTATTACACTTTGGTTTTGTACATTATAATCTATGTTTTGACCTTCATTTTCACCCATACTTTCCCATTCTTTCCTTAAGTATAAATTGTCAAGGCCACAATTTCCATATCTTCCCTTTATCATATTCTGGAACAAATGTTTTATGCATTGCTCTCCTGAAAAGTCTTGGGTATAATAAGATACAGCTGAAATAAATAAAAATAACAAGTTATTACTTAATACACTGCAGTGAATATACTTTGCAAATATAACATGAAATTATATGGAGCTGGGGACATCAGCATGATACAATACTAAGCTGTAATTACTACAGAGATACATGAACTTAACAACATAATTACTATATTGTTATTTATTTATTTATTATCATGTATTTAGTAGAGGGTCTATAGAGTCACACTACACAAATAGAACTTGTAGTGATCCTCCTGTTTTTTCAGCCTCCCAAGTGCTGGAATTACAGATGCATGCCACCACACCCAGTCTCATTCACCATCTTAGCACACCCTGGGGCCGGGGCTAGCGTGGCAGGCCAGGGGTGACCATACTGTTTTATAAGATATTCCAAAACTAAAAGTTTATAGCACTCCAAATGAGCACAACATGGTAGGGAAGAGGATGGGAGACACACCATATAGGAAGAGAAACAAACATTTGTTACTTTTGTCAACTACAGATCTTTCTCCTCCCCAGAGCATTATGGATTAGGAAAGACCCCAACCTCTTTCTTATTATTCATATATATTAAATTAAAATTTTTTATCCTTTTGTCAACATTACCCTGAACATCACCCACAAAAAGCACAGCCTGGGGGTGCTGGTGATGGCTCAGTGGTCTAAAGCACCTACTTAGAACAAGCTCAGCAAAGCACGGGACCACAGTTCAATCCCCCAGCACCACATGCCAGCCCGCCCCGTCCCCTGGTGGGTTGAGCTGGACACACACACACACACACACAAAATTTTTTAAAAATTTTTAAAAATTTAAAATAATTAAAAATAATAAAAAGCACAGCCTGTAGTAACCAGCATTTGACTCTTGAAATTTTTGACTTCAACATCTTCAGATTCCATGTAACATCATGCAGTAATTTATTTTGGTGTCTCTCTTATTTCATATCATGTAATGTCCTATATACTTTTTTTTTTTTTGGTGACCAGCTCAGCCCATGCTGACGGCGGTGCTGGTGTGATATGTGGTGCCAGGGATTGCACTCTGGTCCCTGTGCTTACATAAGCTTGCTGAAACAGGCATGTTAGACCACTGAGCTATCTCACTGGCCCCCTGTATGCTCTTTAAATATGGACCCATGTTGCTATAATGACAAAAATTTCTCCTTATTGTAAAATAGTAATCCATTTTATTTTGCATTTTTATTTTCTATCTTCATGGGCACTTACAATGCTTTTGTATCTTGGCTATTGTAAACAATGCTGCATTGAATATGTGAGTGGAAACAACTCTTCAACATGTCCATTTTATTTATTTTGGCTGTATATTCAGTAGCAGAATTCCTGGATCATATAATCATTCCAATTATAATTTCTTTATAAACTTCTATAATGTTATCCATTGTTATGGCTTATATTTAGATGTCTATTCAAAGCCTCGTGCACTCCCAGGTTGGGCTTTTGGAAGTGACTGGCTCATGAGTGCAATAACTGGATCAGTTCACTGAATGGATGAGATAGACCTAGCCTACCAGAAATGGCAAAGAAAATTATTGCCACTAAAAAATAAAATGTTGGGGCTGGAGAGATGGCTCAGTGGTCTAAAGCACCTACTTGGAACAAGCTTGGCAAAGCACAGGGACCGCGGTTCGATCCCCCAGCACCACATGCCAG